ACGGAACTGAAATATTACGACAGGTAAAACTCAAGACTCCAGTCGTCACATACTTATCACATTCACATCTCAACTATCGATCCAGTAAAACTGAATTATCGGTGATAATCAAACTACTAATTAACACAACATCACCAACCTTTTCGTATAATCAATAAAATGTGACTAATATATATATATATATAATATATATATATATATATATATATATATATATATATATATTAGCGATGTTCCACTCGGTGCAAAAATCGATTCATGTATCAGTGAACGCGTATGTGGAATAGAAACACAAACACACAATCGACTGCATATGTCTGTACTTTTTCCATAAACAATTTGCATCTTCATGACACAACCTACACATATACACGTCCGAGAGATAATTTCTTGTGTGTGCAAGGTGTTGGTGATATTGACTAGCACAGTGAGGAACTCTGTGCATAAAGCTTCGGAAGAAATAATTATTGAAAATCACAAAACATCAAGAAATCCTAAGAACTAAACGAATAAACAAGGGATTCCAACTTTTTTTGATCGAAACTGCCCTCAAAGAACAAATCATTTACTGATAAAGAGCAATGTAGGAGTGATGGTGTATTATTATGTAAGCACAAACTTATTAAGGAATTAATATCACATTTGAAAGGAAGAGATAGTTTAAAAAATAACGGAATAACAAACAAGTGTCCTATCTCCATGTTAAGTGGTATAATATGGTGAGTTATATCGTGGAGAGGCGTAGAGTATTAGGTAAGGAGGGTGAATCAATCGACCAGGTTATAGAACCACAGAGACTGAAATGGCTATGATACGTCTCGCGCATGCCTTCCTCGAAGGATATATTAGCCGACATAGGATTGAATTGGAAACGAGTTAGTGGTGGTCAAACCAAAACGTGGCATCACTCCATGAAATCCTCAATTAGTTTGAAAAACGTAGGGACTGCCTAGTTGTGGTTCTCGGGATGCTAAGAATCAATGGGTGGAGACTGCAGTAGGTATGGCTCAAAATCGTTGTCAGTGGCGCAGATGCATACACTTTTCGTGATCTCTGGTGTCCACTAAACCATCTTGTTTTCCCATGTTACTATTCTCCTTTAAACACTCTTATCAGAAAATTTTCATTCTGTTGATAGCATACGGATGATAAATTCATATTTTGTGAAAATGATTTGGAAAGGAACGCGATAATATCTCAGTTCAATGAAGTACATTCAGCTATCGAATTCAGGTGTGAAGAAGAATCCCAAAGTAAGATTGCTTTTTGCACGTCCTATTGATAAAATCTAACGGTATTATAAAAGGGAATTTACATAAGAAAAGCACATGGACCAGTAAATATACACATTTTCACAGCTTTATTCCTCTCAGATATAAAAGAAATTTGGCAAAGACCCTCAGCTGAAGGATCAGAGCTATTTTTCAGAAGATAACATCGAAGACGAACTTAAACGTGTTAATTGAAAACATCTACCTTGAAAAGTTCATCAAGAAACACATGGCCAAAAGAGTGGGAAAGAATCCTTCTATATCTGTTAACAAGAAGCCTCTATGTATACGACTAAAATTCAAAGGTAATATACCAAGCGAAATAATAACCAACAAGTTGAGAAAATCGATTCAAAAAACGTTTAATGCCGGTAGCCTGCAACTTTTATTTTCCACACAACCGGTTGCTATTCCGAAAGTGAAAGATGAAGTACCTAGATTAGCCACTTCTAATTGTATCTATCAATTCAACTGCTCCTCTGGAGCCGATTATATTGCGCGTTGCTCTGGAACACTCACCAGTGGTGTTAAAACCATCAACAGTTATATATTGCATCACCTCGTCTAAACAGAGTCTTTCTCTATCATTCATCGAATAAATTACAAAAACCTCTAGATAACAAACACCAGGGGCCACTGTAACTTGCTTAAATCAACCGCAGCCCTGAGTACAAAAGAAACAGTTCTAGTCACAGTTGGCATGTCGGCCGGCTGTAGAATCTAAAAATTCATAAATTCTGCATTAATTCCTTAAATCTATCTGACATTCAGATTAGTGCTATTTTCATGTATATTATCTCTTACTGCTGATTATGAACTGCAATTTATCGATTGTATTGATTCAATGTAATTTAAAACAATAATGTTGCTATAATAACAATAATTCTTCAATTATTATGGTCATATAACTGTAGAACTTGATGACGAAGTTATCGAAAAAAATATTCCTTCTTCACTAATCAGTCTTTCAGTGTAGTTCTTTTGAATCTCTTTTAAGCTCGTTTGTCTGCCTTTATGTTCTACATGGAATGTAGCAACTTGAACTGCTGCACTTCTACGCTGAAACTCTGTCAGTCAGTGATAGCAGAAGCTAAGAGCTGCAGCACAATCACTACTAGTTTCAACCAGGAAAGATGTGATGCTTGAAATTCATCAGTTGGATTCTCTCTTAAACTTCCCTCAGAGGTATAATGCACTGAAGAATGCCTACCCAACACAACTATCTTTTACACTACAGCGTTACATTGTTCAGTAAACCTTTTTTTCGCAGCGATTAATAATCTAAAATTGAAACTAAAATAGTTAATGAAACTGTATATCCCAAAGATGTCTAAAAGACCAGTAACTGTAACACTGACATTTGAAAGCCGGTTTCACTTACAGATAAGAGTAAGAATACCAAATGAACACTGTAATGGAAATCCTTAGGGGATTTGTTTATTTGATATAGCATTCATACAATGTTACTTACTGGATTACTTTCCGGACACAACAGATATGAGGATAGTCATAAAAATCCAAATAGCATCAACTGGTTGTGGATGTTAAATAACGCTCAAAATATAGCAAATACGTAGGATATAAAGTCAGTTTCCATCACGAGCTGGCATCAGTTCGAGAACGATCAGATAACAAGGAACACCAGACAGACGTTTCACACTGATTTAGAAGTCTCCAGCAGTGCGCATCCACGACCATCAGGTTACATGGCTAATCCATCAGTTATCGGGTTGGGATGAAATGACCCGTAAACCCGAATTTCTGTCAATTCGCGAAATACAATGCTACTGCCATCGGAAACTGTTTGTCCTCACACTCAGCATCGTTGACCCCATCGACTACGACTTCTTATTAGCGACTAATAATGCCATCCCATAGTCACTCATGAGCAGTAGACCAATTTTCATGTGTTTGATTACAAGGATTTGACTGATCACAAGGCTGATTTCATCAAAAACCAAACCTACTTTGATAAACACTGAAACGTAGGGAGATGTGATGGTTGGTTCATGAAAAACCTACCTTTGGAGTCAATTAAACTCATACAGTCCCATGCCTGAAAACTTGAGTTAGTTTCTGACAAAATGGAAGCCACACTATCTGCTGGGGAGAAAACCCATGAATCTTTCTTTAAGTAAAGAACTGCTAACACAATAATACTGAACTACAAAATGCTAAGTGGTATCATTCAACTGGTTTTATTGATTGAATCATGCAACAAAGTAAGTCATCCATCTCAACATTGAATTGTACTGTCTGAAAACAGCCAGCAGAGATGTTTTCGTGCCATTTATATTTCAATCTTCAACACGTTGCATTCATAACTATTAATACACAGCAGTTTAAATGATCTTTTCTGTCTTGTTGTTGTGGCGAGGTGAACACAGTCAGTAGTGTGTTACACATACTACACTGTAACATGTCCATTATGTTGGCATCTTTCCAGTTTTACTATGTATACAATAAAAAACTGAATCGCTCAGTTCGCACATGCTCGACTAACAGGCTAACTTAATATGTGAGGGTGGTTATCGAGGTAGTAAGATATCCAGACAGGAATGAGTTGCCAGACGGATTATGTGAAGCTAGCATAGATTAATTTTATTGGATAAAAGGCACACAGTGATACAGTATTATTTACTGAGCACACTATATTGCCCACAATCATATCAAGGCATTCACATAACTGACATTTAAACCTAAAAACTCACTCAGGGACAGGACCCTACTGACCCAATTAAACAATACAATCTAATCTACAAAATACTTTGCAATGAATATGTGGTCAGCTACACAGGCCAGACCAGTAGATCGGTGGGGAGTAGGGGCAATCAGGTTATCGCAACATAGGAGTTTAGCTAAGTGTAAAATCATTGACCACAGTAAGATGAATAACTGAAATTCAGCAAGTGCAATGCAAGCACTAACATACACAAAGAGGGCTATAGTTCTAAAAAGTAATATAGGTAGGTGGAGGAAGAGGTTGGTCATCGAATCCATACCCAGTAGGTGCAATAAGAATGACGTAAAGCCAATACTCCCAGAGATATGGAAAGTAATACTAATAAAACCAGGGAACACGAAGTAATGGAACTATATAAACAAAATTTGGAAGTCATGCACAAGTGGCTTGACACTATTATGAGCAGTAAACTGTGCCTGAAACGTCATCAGTAAATAATACTGTATTACTGTGCTTTTTACCAAATAAAATCATTCTATAATGGAATTATACCCTACTACAGTGCCTAAATTCTATCCTTATACCAATAGATTAAGTAAAAGTTAACTGCTTAAGCCAAACATGAGTCGGTGGCACAGTGGTTAGGACTCTCGCCGACCATGCACATGGTCCGGAGTTCGATCCCCTGCCGACGCACACCTGATATCTATGGCCGGCCTGCAAAATTTGGGCTACCGACACCACATGCTGAAAATTCCATACCTGTACCAAAAAATACGGTGTGGAACCAAGCTGTAATCAAAAATAATAAAATAATTCTTTATTGCTTATACCAGGATGAACTTAACTTAAAGCTTTGGGTAAATTCTTACAATACACAGATTTAAATTTACTTCAGTATGTACCAACTTTTAAAAATATATTAAACATATTTCAATGCTGAATAATTAAGAAACAAGCAATATCATATTGTTTGGTTCCGTAGTAGTACACAGAATATTTTTTTTTAATGCTGACTGAATCCAAATATCAATCAAAAAGGTGAGTAGTAATAATAATAATAATAACAACATAACAAAGTGCTTACCTCTACTACTTATGTCAAGAACTGTTACAAAAACACAAACACATCGTGAGAAATATGCAAAACTTATTTTTTGAACACCACGAAGTTAACACCTAATGGAAAATTTTAACGTAAACACGTACGTTACAGATGTGAAACTAAACATATAACAACAGTTGCTCTGGATAATGTTCCTAAATTTCTGTCCGAAGAATGTATGGGATTTAACAATAAGTTGCAGAAATATGCCAGTTTGTAAGAGGAATATACCCATTCAGATTTTAAACTTGTAATTTCAATTTCCTTAAGAGTTAAATACAAGGTGAGATGGAATATGAAGAGCACATTGACATTGTAAGAAAGTTTTTTTTATGCCCTAAATCGGTTTGGATGAATAATGCAATGAAAAAAATTGACCTAATAAATGGCATATATTTCCTGGAACTGTACAGTTTTGATAGTACTCAGTTTGAATAAATGCGAAAAATTTAATGATGACAGCACAATGACATGAATAGAAAAAAGGGCTTAAAAGTTTGAAGAGCTAAGAATCATGCCAAACAACGAGGAACAAATATTAGCAAAAATGAAAATATGCATTAAAGGGATATTTGCATTAGGAAATAACAAACACAAAACATACATTTACAAAAGTTTATATATATATATGTGAAAATATGGAAGAGTAATTTTAGTTAGTTAGCGGCTCGTTCTGGTTCTACTAAACCATTTGACTTTTTGGATACATCAACTTCCATCTTATCCACAAAATCATGTTTTGAATCGGAACGCTACGAATAAACAAACAAACAAAAAAAGAAAAGATCAAATAAATGAGATAATGAAACAATGAACATTCACAATTCATCATTACATGTAAAAGAAATGCTGCTTTATTGACTTTGAGATTTAAATCTGAACCTGACTATGCTGTACATACTGCAGTTTAAGCAATTAAGTTATGTAATTTACCCTCACAAAATATGTACCTGATGTACTAACCTAAATGTGCTATGATTAACATTGGATTTATATCTAACATAACAATCAATAGTCCTCGTAATACTAAGAACCAATGATTTGAGACTCACATAGTAGTGAAGAAAAATTGTTTACAACGGAGCAGGTGAATTCACTTTTGGCCGTTTTTCCACATTCTGAATACATTTACTAATCGTTACTTTGCTTATTCCGTCTTCTTTACACCTCTGTTCATTATACTTTCATTACAATTTCCTTTCCTTACTACTTTTTTGAACATTGATGCACTTTGTGCTAAATTCGATACTGTTGTTTCAATTTAATCGGAAATCATATATAATTCGTATAACCGCACCTCAATAAAATTGAGTGCAAATAATTCACATTAATAAGAACTGAAAATATTACTAAAAACCCACAGTTGAGCACATGAGTGTGTATGATTTTTGTCAGTATAACTGATTATCTACACATTTAGTCCACGAAATAAAGTTATCTGCTGAAACCTATTTTCTAATCTAATCGTTTGATTTATGCTATAGAAAGACATTTTACAACTTAAACAACCATCTAGTTTTAATCAAAAATTAGTCTAAGTAATAGGCAAAACCAAAGTTAATAATAATGGGTACTAGGCAGAGAATAGCTAGGCATAAATATCTTAAGAAAACAGTCCTTAATTGTTGGTTTGAGACGCGCAGAAAGTTTCTTGGCACTCTTATCGGAAGCTAGGAAATAACTCAAAACGACTGGAGACTGGATGATACAGTTCGAAATCCATTGCAATTATGAAGATATAGGCCTTACTTCTTTTCCATTTTGCTTGTCTTACACTATTTGAAGAATCCAGACATTTTTTCCCTTTTTCCTGTGATCTTTATACTCTGATGTGCTGAAACGAAAACGGTGATTTAGACGACTGTACAGTAACATCTTAAGTTCATATGTCTGACTGTCACTTATCCTAGTTGGGGAGAATTTTCGTTGTTTTGGAAACAGTAGTACAGATAGATAGACAGTAATACACTAAAAGAAAATATTTTTCACCTGAAAAAATGACTTATTTTTCTGCAAATCCCTGGCATTTTTATACTTATTTAGTAATAGTACAAAGTGAGCATAAAGACCAAGGTACTATCCCAATGAAAGGCTACCCCTGAAAACATAAGTGTATAACTAGCTAACATCACAGGACGTCAAATGTGGAAAACAGTGAAAGGTTTACGTAATTACTGATAAGGAAATTACACCAAAATCACTCTGTAAAAGTAAATGCAGTATGGAACAGTAATCGACGAGTGAATATGCTGTAATGATAAACTCTGGTGGCCATAAGAAGCATTTTGGAAATAAATCTTTTGGTTAAATACGAAATATCTTGTTGTAGAATTTCATACTAAACACAATACTAGCGAATACTAATATACAACTAACTACAAGAAATCACACACCTGGGATAAATTTCACCTTACCTTGTCACCACTAGCATCTGGTTTCTTTGACCCACTTCCCTCCTTATTGCTTGTTTTACTGCTGGCTGAGTTTGCATCTTCGTCTGTACGCGCCCGCTTAGGTTGATCTCGGTGGTTTTGAATATCACGAGCAGCAGATTTACCAGACCGTAGAGTAGCACCTCCTAATCCTGAACCCTCCTCTGGGTCATCGAAAAATTCATTGTTGGGCATAACAGCTTTATCAGCAGCCATAATTGAAATTCTCTTGTCTGGATCAGCTAGATCTCTGGCAACAGCTTCATTCTCCTCCAAATTCACAATATCATCCGGAATATCTAGTGGGTTTAATAAACACATTTATGTAAGAAACTATATAACAAATAGGCTATTATTTAAAATCTAGGTATTCATAAGATGGTGAAAGTGTATTCAAAGTTACTTCTTACTATTAAAACAAAATCTCACAATTTGAATAAATCCTCAAGCTTACATATGGACGTTGTGCACAGTTATAGATATATACTGATGTCATATAATAACTTGTTTACCGATATCAAGTTTATCCTTACAGTCTAGCTATAATACTAAAAGTAGTGGGTCATAATTTATGTTCCTGCGAAAATAATCTTTTTTAAAAACTGGTAATGACTACACTCTACAATCATGAATTGAAGAAATAAAAGATAGATTCAGCGAAGAAAATTTTCTTTATCGACGAAATCATCTTCAGAGGCTGTACAGTCGTATTTATACTTACAAAAATATATAGCGGTCTATTATTGAGTAATAAGGGGTGACATAATTGATATAATTACTCAGAAGTGGCTTTAGAAGTGAAAATTAAAAGTTGTAAATTACGTGGTACTCAACGGAACAAAGATAGAAATTTGATAAGGTTAAAATTGCTATTGAGTCAGAATAAAGGTATTTGAGTGTCAATTTAACAAGTGTGAAGAGGGTGTGAAAATATACAAAAGGAGCATATGAGAGTGATAATAGTGAATTAATTATTAAAGCAAAAGCAAACTAAAAGTAAGATTAAAAATTCAAAAAGAAAAGAAAAAAATCAAAATTTTTTTAACAGGGAACGATTAGTGAGAAGGTTAAGACCAAGGTAGAATAAGAGACTGGACAAACGTTTTCTGTATACAGAGTTCAGGGTTGTATTGATGAATTGCCAACGCCTCTGCCATACACAAAAGCCGAAACCTGACGCCCTTTGTACCATTTGGCTTCACTTTGTAGATGATCTTGAAAGACGACTCCGGTGGAGCTACGTGACCTGAGTTCACCAAATGCTCGAGAATTGAGCTAGTAATTGTCTTACACTGTCCCTTTGCTAATCATACCGGATAATGTTCAGAGATGCGTTTGGAAAGCGTGCGCTTTGTGCGGCCAATATAACTAGCTCCACACGAGCAGGTGAATTTATAAACACACATTGAGGTGGCCCAAAGCGGCAGTTTATCCTTCATGTTTTCTCGTAAATCTTGGAGGATATCCATTCTCTATGAGGAGAGGCATCATGAATTTGCCAGAGCGACAAGTGATGGAAAGTGAATTTAAGTGAAGGCTTTTTAACATGCAAAAATTAACCGAATCTTGTAATAGTTACTTGACAATCAATAATTTTATTTGCTTTCACCAGTAAGATACGGTAGACAGGACAGTGAAGTTTAAAACTACGCATTTTTGATTTGATTCGATTACAATGACTAATCATTTTTTAAGTAAATAAACTAAAACACGACAGTGGTTACACCAAAACATATAGGGATGAAATGAAACTGTTGAATAGAGTATGAATAGTTTGTTAAGGATCTACAATTAGATTTAAAATATTAACACACTACAAACATTATGTAATCAACTTAACACGGGCTTACTTCAGTATGTTTTGAGAAACCAAATGAAGGGTTCAAGTGAAAAGAAAAATAGTCAAGAATAAACTAACAATTCATCATACTAACATGTGAAAATAAAACACACCTTGCATTTGTACACTAGGCGAGTGTGGTATCATTCGCAAGTTTTCAAATAATTTCGCCTTTATATGCTCTAGGTATTCATTTGTATTTTGATTAGCCATATTGCTGGGACTAATATGAAGCTTGAAATCAGGTCCAAAATACTCATAATAATCATTGTAAGGTAAATCATTGGGTAATTCAGTTGCTAAAGCGATAGACGTCTCAAACGTCCAACATCTGGCAACGTTTCGAATGGTATAACCACCACCTGAATAAAACAATACCATCAACAGAGAAGCAAATTAATTACCTCTAAAAATAAAATGTATTATTTCCACACAATCACCATAAAAAACAAACGATTAAATAAATTTTAACTTTCAGTGGGTGATGAGAACAGTTTATATATACAATTATTAACCTAACCGTTGAATAAGCTTAGATAATCAGAATAATTAATCATGTTTCTGAACAACAGAATAAGTAAACAAAATATATAATGTTTTTGAAAATACAAGATCAGCACAAACCTCCAACAAGTAGAAGTGGTATAGGGAATGAACGGATGAACTCAACGCACTTCCCATGACCTCTCAAGCTTAAATTAAAGCATCCAAGTCGATCACCACTCAGTGAGTCAGCACCACACTGTAAGACAACAGCTCCAGGTCTAAAAGTTTCCATAACCTAGACGTAAATTAGAATTATAAGAGAAAACATACTTTTGTGATGACCGGTTTAAAGATCCGCTCATAACAGTCATCATCCATACCATCTCTCAAAGGACAATTGACGGCATAATATTTACCACGACCAGCACCAATATCCTTCAGATCACCAGTACCAGGGAAATATTCTCCATATTTGTGAAAACTAACAGTCATTACTCTGTCAGTTGTATAGAAAGCTTCCTAGTTGAATGGATAACGATTAATTAAAACTCAACTTACCTCAACACCGTCTCCATGATGAATATCGATATCCACGTAAAGGACTCTTTGATGATATTTTAAGAGTTCTAATATACCGATCACGATATCGTTTATATAGCAAAATCCAGAAGCCTCAGACTTCTTTGCATGATGAAGACCGCCACCCCAATTAATAGCTATGTCAGTTTGTTGTTTATTTAGTTTGATGGCCCCAGCAATTGAACCACCTGCAGACAACTGACAAAACTCGAAGAGTCCATCAAAAACTGGACAATCTTCTCCAACATTAAAGCGTTGCATTTGTTTGTTGAATTCGTGCATATTATCCGGTCTAATATTTCTCAGGAACTTAACATATTCGTCACTATGAAATCTTGTCATATCTTCACTATAAGCTTTGGAAGGTCGATAAACTTCCATCTTTCTATAAAGACCATAGTTCAAAAGAAGATTGTGTGTCATCCTTATGCGATGTGGCTTCATTGGATGCCCCTGACCATAATAATAATTTCCTATGTCCCCTGAAATATAATTGAGTGAATAGAATTTTAGAAACAGTATGTGCTGGATTACAAAACTGAAATTAAACGCGGAGTTAACTGCCAAGCATCAAAATGTTACCAGACCGCAAACCATCAAAAATGAGTTGAAATCATGGGGACAAATTTAACAATAAACATTAGAATACAAACTAGACATCTCATATAAGATCAATTCGAATATTTTTGGAACCTAACTGCAGTAGCATTGTTTGCAAATAAAAAAACAGAACCAAAGACATTTGCATAAACTGATACGTTAGTAGTATACTCCTAATACGAATTATACAATAGATATGCCACTCAACAAGTACATGCATGCTAATACAATTGGCAATTGACTGAAGATAAAAGTGGGTGAAGATCAGTAGCCCTTTGTGTGCTTTTGGAAGTGTGTGGCGGTTAACGTTTTTAATCTAATCAATAACCAAACAACCTTTCTGGCAAGGCAGGACCTGCAGGAATATTTTTCCAGCCATTGTAGCTCGTTGCCATATGTAAGCCCAACCACCAAGTCACGTGGCAGCTATCGGTCGAGACAGTTGGCAAAGGGGTATATCAGATGTTTGGGGACAGGTGATATTGGGCTAATTATACACTTTAACCCTAGACCCACTGGCCAATATGCAAGTGTCTAATCCAGTAGTGAAAAATTACTGCTACAAAGCCAGAAATTCGTGTTAAACGGATGTAGATCGTTGGCAGTCTCAGTTTATGAGAAAGGGAACAGATTTCCACGTAATAACCATGAGAAAGCAGCATAACTAAACAACACTTGAGATCCTGACTGACTGGTTTCAACGTAGAACTTTGCACCGATGCGCAGCAGTTCGAGTCGCCACACTTCACTCAGCAAACAAAGCCAGAGAAGAAAAAAAAACGCAATAGAGACAGTGAAAAGAGATATGAGGCTAAAAGAATAGTAATATCGAAGGACAATATAGTTTCATTGGATATCATAAGTCACAAGGAGTGGATGCATCTGCACCACTGAGAACGATTTTGAACCATATCACTAATTGTCTCCAACCATTGGTATTTACCGTCCCGAGGACCCCAACCAGGAAGTCTACACCTTCCTACGTGGCTTAAACTAACTGTTGTGGATTTCATTGACTGATGCCATGTTTTGGTTTGACCACCACTGGCTCTTTTCCAACCTGACCCTATGTCACCTAACATTGCCCGTCGAGGAAGGCGATCGATGGCTAGGCATACGTAACACATGTCCTAACCATCTCAATCGATATAACTTCACAGCCTCGTCTATTGATTTCCCCTCTTTACCTAGCACTCAACGCCTAACCTCAATATTGCTCACCCTATTATACCATTTCACACGGGAGATAGAACGCAGGCACCTATGATCAAAGACAGCTAGCCTTTTCATGTCTTCCACTCTCAATGGCCAGGTCTCACATCCATAAAGGAGGACGGAGCAGACTGCTGAGCAGTACACACGTCCTTTGGTCGATAGCCGGATATCACGTTTATAAGCCAGAGACGGCGTAAACTGGCATATGCAAAACTAGCCTTCTGTATTCGTGCTGAGATTTCGTCAGCGATCAACCCGCTGGCACTGGCTGATGCAACTTCCCAAATAAGTGAAGTGGTCAACGCGCTCTTCACTTCACTCCCTATTTCTAAGCTAGGAGTCAATGTAATCCAGTCCTGTTGCATCATCTTACATTTGGCAGGAGCGAATCGCATGCCAAACATTCGAAGATTGCAGCTCAAGGTGTTGCATTTTGTCAGCGTCTTCACCTAGAAGGACTATATCATCTGCATATTCTAAGTCAAACAGACTATCCCTTGGTAACAAGTCAATCCCTGCGTCTCTGAAGTGAATTAGGGTTACTCGGGTCTTGTATGCGTGTCTCCGAAACACAGCATACATCCACGGCTCGAGATGCCAGAGTTCTTGCAAGTGATGCCTGTTGTCTGATTTGCAGACGTTAAATGCTTCTAAAGGAAGTTGGCGACGTGGCTTTAAGAGGCTGTCGGGGGTATTTCTATGGCTCTCATCGTTGTTTGTGGTCATTGAGTGAAGTGATGACGACTCACTAGCCTGAAGATTAGTACCGACTGTAGTAGGAAAGTAAGATGATGGTGATGTGGGTTAAGGAGAATGATGCCCAGGAAGGCTTCGTGTGCTTTTGGAAGTGTGTGGGCGATTACTTCCCGGCTACCCACACTGTGGAAGTTGGTTGACGCTTCGGGTACCTGAAACAAAAAGAGGGTTAGTGTTGTGTGACCGCAGAGTCCAAGGGACAACTGCTTAAGGCCGGTTACACACAGCCTGTATGAACTGATTTCTGGGATTGGTTCCGTATCAGTAAACTTACTGCCGGTTACGGACCACCGTAGGGTAAGTTGGGATGTACAATTGTTGGGGTCGACCTTTTCTAACCCTTTCTCTCTAGAGTGGAAAGACAGCATAGCTGGCATGCTGGTCATCTCAGGGAAACACCTCACTGCTGTTACACCCCTGTTCCCCAGCAGTACGACTTCACCCACAGACTCCCAGCATAGTCCAAAATAAATTCTTACACAATGCCAGTAACTGCTTTTAGTCTGATCGCTATCTTAAAAACCTTCCTGTCATGGTAGGACCTGTAGGAACAATAGTTCCAGCCAGTGTAGCTTGTTGAGTCATTGCAATTTGCAAGCCCGACCACTACGTCAAGGTAGCAGCTATCGGTCGGGGCTTGAGATCATATGGTCCTTAATCATAAATACATCAAGTATGAGTATGAAAATAACTCAAGGAAAATGATGAGTCGACTAAACCTTCACTTTCGGATGGTTTCTGGAACGCATATACTTATTGGTGTCTGCAAATCTAAAGGCGGCACTGGATTGTGTCATTCTAAAAGTGTTGTGGAAATGTCCGACTGAGTGGGGAATGTTTAATAAGTTTATAGTGCCAATTGAGGGACTTTACTCGAATCTACACAAGTGTATGAAAGTTCGCGGAGTTTTCGCCTGATAGGGGCAGCAATCAGTGGTACTCATTACGGATGTCCAGCATCACCATTCTCATTTAATTAAATCATAAATACACCAATAGATATCATCCTGGTATACTCTGATGTCAAAAGAATTGACTTGCTATGAGGAAATCGCTGGATTTAAATAGTGTAATCCTCATAGTCGCTTGAGGTAAGGGCGATGACAAAATGTAGAATCTTTTGAACATGAAGGGAAAATAGGAATACTTATGGCATGTAAGACGATGCTACATGATTGGTTTGCACTGAAAATAGGAACTGAGATGACGAGAAGCATTGATCATTTGACTTTTTTTGAGTTGTCATTCTAAATGAGTTATTTGATGACTTTGCTCTCAATATCTCAAGCCAGAACTCCGCCCTAACTGCTTCGCATGGTTAACACTATTAGACCTCAAAAGTGTGGCTTATAGTAGGATACATGAGAAATCTGTTTCGGATAATTGGGTTATGACAATTAACATACCTCGGGTACTCTTAGAATCAGTGACTGGAGACTCTTAATGAACCGGACTGCTTAGTGGTGTAAGTGTATTCACTTCTTATCGTCTTCAACATAATAAAGAGCATTACCAATATTCATTTTATGTTGCTTCTAACAATCCTGTTTGTTTGTCTGTCACATAAGCATTCCACTTGCTCTTATTTTATGTTCGTTTTCGAAATGTGATAGCCTGAACTGAAGCAGTTTTTCGCTAAGTTTTACGGTAAACTGCTCACAAAGTAGTTCTACTGAGGGCAACTAGTGCTACGAAGCTTTACATACTTTGTTACCTTTAAAAATCATACTTCAAAACAGGGTACGACAGAGCGCATAATTGAGCAATAAGTTTAATTTTTGATACCCAGACAGGTACCTCTCTTGTAATTTGGCTACCACAAGTTTTTGTAAAGCAAATGAACTCCGGAGAGTAAATAAGACGCTTCCTGATGATGAATTTCACACATCGAAAAGGTCCTACAGTCACGAAAATCACCAAAACTAAAGAAGTGAATTCCTTGTTACACTACATAACAAGCTTTATGCCCTAACTAAATTATTTCTAAATTACACTGTACTGGTGACAAATCTCAATCTTGCCAGAAAACCAATAGTCAAGGTACTACAAACAGATGCACACCCGAATAGTTGTAGACACCCTAAGTATGATGCCATACTGACTTCAACACTTGTTCCTGAAGGTCTCATTATTACAGACGTAATAATAATAAGCGAATTAGCATTTGTGTCCAAGGTTATGGGGCACATTTGATGTAACATAAAAGCTCAAGTAAGCTTTGAATGCCTGACTCGTCGCGTAAAAGTTGATTACCTTAGTCAATGGCTGACGACGATTACTGCAAAGAAACAGCTACTTCGGAAGGATGTAGAACTATTTTGAACAGCAAACATAGCACCAAGTATTCCGATACTTTGGTGAAGTTAGTAGTTGTGTTAGCAAACAAGTCTTATTTCTGGTTTGATGAAACTTCCAGGAATACCAAAATCAGTTAAAAAAGGGCAACTGCTCTTAGTTGCTATTGGTGTTCTATCCTGAAATAACGATTATCATTAATTACATGAGAATCACATTCTAAACGCCGCGAATCGTTTAAAGGACTATCGCCAGCGTCCTTATTTAGAAGAAGCATATCACTAATACACCTTAATTTCACTAGTTTTTAGAAAAGTATGTTTCTATAAAACTAAAAGGAACAAGTGATCTCTATAAGCGCATGTATTTTAAGTCCATATAACAAATAAGATGAACATAACAGATACTAAATACCAACACCTCATAATACTCAAATTTGGCCCTTACTGGATCATAAGTGCTTGGATATAGACAAGAGATTAAATCAGTGATAACCATCTGTATATTTTTGTCCCAGAAACCTGTGAAGAGTAAATGTTCGGTTGATACTACTAAGAACGAAATCTGTCTAGTCTTATTATGGTTAATGTTTTCGAAATCCATTTAGGCTCGAAGTCAGTATAAAAGTTGAGACAGAATGATTATAGGAGGCAGGCGCGACTACAGTGCTCCAATATCTGAACTACCGACAGCAGTCCCTCTCAAAATACCTCTAATGATGGGCCTGTTACCGCTCTTTATTTTAGGTAGTAGAATTTTGTCTAATCTAAGCGGAAATTGTATAACGAGAACCTACGAGGTAGCTGAAGGTTTATCAATCTAGTTCCAGAAATGTTTTAGTCTAATTGCCGACTGAAGTGAGATTAGTATCGATGAAGCTGAGGATCTACAAAGATACTGACCGCTAGTTTCAGTTGTACAATGAAGTACACACTTCCTGGTTAGGGTTTATCGAACAGCCATTAACAGTGACTGAAGGCTTTAAAGTTTATAGCACACAGCAGACAATTCCCCTGTATTTTCAAAACTGCCAATTTTTATGTTAGTCTTTTTGGTTTGTGCACTATTAGGCCGATGCAAAGTGTTTCAACTCATTTTGACAGATGGTTATCGCTTTTTAGTTTGTTTATAACTCCTCTAAAGTGAAAACTAAGAGATCATCAACAGAAATGCAAAAGAGAGAAATGTTTCATAATTTGCCATGTCTGCAGAGTCAGGTAATGACTTATGCAAATTCCTCAGGCTGACCGGATGAAGATAAGCGAATATTCACAAGGATGATACTTATAAATTCTACATAAGATATCAATTACCAATTTTCTAAATTGGTAGATTTACTGCATGAAGTATAACAGATCTGTAATAATGAGCTTCTCTGGAGAGTCAGTGACGTGATACTTTTGATCGTTTAGGCTGTTGGTAATGACTACGGCGCCAAACTACATATTTCTGGTTGGAACCTCGTGGGGACACAACAATAGCAATCCTTACGATACAACCTTCCTAACCACTACCTTCCATAAAAAGAGTGCGATAGGTGAGTGGAACTGTGACTCATCGTCTTAAACTAGCTTCCAACTAATGGGCTACAAAACTGAAATCTGCTTCAAATATTTAAGCATAAATTAAGTAATGGTATTAACCCTCACAATGTAGGAGTGGGATATTTCCTAGAGTGCATGGTCGATTACCGCTCCGAGTTTTATCACTTATTAACATACTTTTGGAAATTTCATCCAATTCTTCCCATTAATAAACTTGAACAGAGTAAGACCAACAAGTGAAGCAGGATAATGAAAATGAGCTCGTTATACTGCTGAAATTACTGCTCTTGCTTTGTTCAGGACATCCATGGCATGGTACAACTCGCGAGAATAGCTAATACAGCTGCTAGGCTACTATGACAGTTTAGTCAGTGATTTCAGATTAGCGAAGGAAACTACAAATTTATCAGATTAAATTATCTGTCAGTCAGATGCAATCAAATAATACTAATTCGTAGTTAGAATATATACTAAATAATCAAAATAGTCGAGTCCAAGTTTCAGGTACAAAAATATCGAAAATCTTCAAGATTATATCAAGACCAATTAAATGTGAAACCCTTATCACATAAAGCTAGTGAGTATTGTGGTCACCTAGTCAAAATTCTCAAGGATGCAGTGTGCCTACGTTGCAAACTTGATTGAAACTTGTTTTAAGTGCCGCTTTGAATGCGAAAAACGGTAACGGACTAGACCACAGCATATTCACGTGGCGGAGGTGTTTTTCACCAAAGTGAGAGGGCGAAAGCGGATGCCCGGCGCTCTTCACCGGGTTGAATGTCCATTGGATGACAGTCTAGGGGAGATGGCTAAACCCTGATTCCAAACCTCCAACGACTGGCGTATGAAGCTCACTGGAGCTCACCGGCAGACGTATGGATGTCCTGGATGTCTGGCCCCATTCAAAAAGGCGTATGAACCGAACTCCGGTCACCGGCTGCCAATGGATAGTGGACTCCCTACTCCACTCCTACTGCCTTGTAGGTCACACTTGGTTGTGTAAAGGCTAGAGCTGCACTCTCAAACAAAAGGCCGAGCGATTCTGCGGGCATCACTCGTACCAAATTCCCATGAAACTTCATGAACTCTCTTACAAACGACTCTCACCATGCCTGGGCAGCGATGATTCGAGATGTTCATGAAGCCGGCTCATCCTCCCGTAGGAGATAGCCGAAGTAAAGTAAAGTAAGTAAAGCATATTAGTGGGGAGAATAACCATCAGATGAAATGAACAAATGTCACTTTTTACGAGTTGATCACGGATTGATATCACTTAGAGAACCATGAAAAACCAGGGAGAACTGGACAGTTGTTTCATCCTAGTTTGGGAATCATCGGAAGTACGCACCCACCAACGGGGTTCGAACCCAGGACCTTCCGGTTACAAAGCAACCTCGTATACCATTCAGCCACTGGGATCCGATTCAATGGCTCATGAATTCTAACTTCTACCAATTCGTGATTTAGCGCGACCCCCGCCATTGTCGTCGGTGAAACATCCATCTTCACACGTGAAATCTGGATGGACCTCACTGGTCACGACTTCTCACTAGAACTCCAGGAAACTCCATCCTGTAGCAAGTCACTAGAGAGCATCAGATTAATTTTCTATAGTTTGGTTTGTAAGGGTTAGTTATGTTTTTAAAGGATGGAGTTTCCTGGAGTTCTAGTGAGAAGTCGTGACCAGTGAGGTCCATCCAGATTTCACGTGTGAGGATGGATGTTCCACCGACGACAATGGCTGGGGTCGCGCTAAATCACGAATTGGTAGAAGTTAGAATTCATGAGCCATTGAATCGGATCCCAGTGGCTGAATGGTATACGAGGTTGCTTTGTAACCGGAAGGTCCTGGGTTCGAACCCCGTTGGTGGGTGCGTACTTCCGATGATTCCCAAACTAGGATGAACTAGCTGCCCAGTACTCCCTAGTTTTTAATGGTTCTCTAACTGACATTAATCCGTGATCAACTCGTAAAAACATAACCAACCCTTACAAACCAAACTATAGAAAATGTCACTATTTAGCATTTTTTTTACCATTGAATTTTAATGTACAGTAAAATATAACACTGAATATATAAGGACCTGATTGCATTGAAGACGAATATATAACTAATTGATCAATCAAACTTCCTCATTGTAAATTGATTTGAGGATACACTTCATAGTTTCCACGGAGATCAAAAATCTTAGAGGAACTAGGTGATACAGGCATTCTATAGACACTGAACTAAGTAAAAACAAATTCCAACAAAACAACCTTTAATAAAGGCAAATTATACTTTGTCTGCAGGTAGAAAGTTGGAAGACTACCTAAATTTTCTAATTTCAGTGTCCCAGTGTTAGGTTCACTTTCCGTATTAATCTGACTCGTAACTATTGAATACAAAGTGTCACATTGAAAATAGACAGATAATTACAATCAAATACTTAGGAACCCATCGTCAAAATGGCCCACCAAAACATCTTGCAAAACTAGACAAGACAGTGAAACACCAGAGGAGCTCACGAAAACGAACTACTACATTCCTCTAGAAAGACAACCAACGCTCTTCAGAATTCCAGGTTCTGTTTCCTGTGCTTTATAGCACTTCTAATAGTAGTGTATAAGTTACAGTACCGTACCAAATAAAAAAATTTGGGGGCAAAATGATGCATGTCCCCAATTTTTTATTTGTGGCTGCTCCATAAGTTGTATCAATATATCAGCTACATGATTTCGTTGATAATTCAAATCATTAGAACTTAAAAGCTTACTATGCATTACCATTTACTTAACATACATGAAGAAAGTGAAATTTGTAACTGAATTTCCGTCAATCTGCGGTGGTACTTTAGACCCCTTAAGGCTTCTATTTAAATGTAGCTACGATAGAAACAATGGATCACCTTGAGTACATTTTGCTATGGAAGATTTCGTATTTTAGAAGCTATATGCTCCACAAACTCACAGTGTCATTCACTCATTGTAACTGTGATGAAGCCTAAAATAACGGCATCGTCAGTATGATCAAATTATATTCAAAATTAATGAATAAGTAATTAAGGCATGACACTTGGTAATTAATGAAGGCTAACAAATCTTCGGTTAAACTTCGTAAATTGCACTCACCATCGTAGTAATAGCACACTTTCTTAGCGACTGCTGACTCCATTACTGTTCAGCTATCCTGGATATGCAGTGTAGACCAGCAAAAACCAAACTTCGAACAATAAGTGGTTGTTTTAAACAAGAGTGGACGAACATGTTCTAACTATTGTTTGCAAAGGGTTTTTTATATGTGAAACATTCTCATTGGGAACAACGTCTACCTTAGGCAAATCTTCAGTCCATAAATAGTTCTCAGCTCAACTGTCTTGGGAAAGCCGGATTCCATTGGTAAGTGTCGACAGTCTGAACCTGATGTCAGATATTTGGGTGCAAGTGGAATTAATACGTCGATAAACGCCTCTGTTTAAAAATTTGAATGGAGTTCACACAGTTTACCCATTGTAATAATAACGTGAGAGCCCTTGAAAGCATTTGGAGCTATGTGGCTATATAAGTCATAACAGTGGCGTACTCTCTAGTAGAGTTACAAACCAATAATATGTTTGGCGATCGGCATTTTTGAAATGAAGCTGATCATGAATAAATTTGAACGTGCTTACAGATGAGTGTGTGTAATGTCTTTTGTTTGAGAGACTGACAGATAAAAGCTGGTGTTTGAACCCAAGAAGCTGTGGGTAACCCAGTGGAATGCTTAGAAACACTTTCTCCTTAATTTCCAAGTACCCGAAGCTTGTATTAAGTGTTTCTATTCTATACTAACGCTTTTAAAGGCCTTTGGGGTGTAGTGACAGAAATTTTAACAATACGCTACCAGTCGAACATGAGAACTTTTCAATGAGAATTCTTCAGTGTCCTTGAAAATATGTTCCCATAAGGTGAATTTTTATGTCAAGAAACCTTTGTATTAAGTGTGAAATCCCAAATATGACGACTTCTGAATGGAGACCGTAATACACTGAAGATCATGAATGGTATTGGTGAACGGAACGGACACAAAATTACACGGAACTCTGTCAGTCTAAATGTTGTCGAATCATTTTACTAGTACGCGTCATGAATAACTTACAAGAGTCACCACAACCCAATTTGTGCACGCAACAACGACATTCAGCTAACATGTATTCATTGGAAAACTGATATAATCCCATCGACAAATATACATCGATTGGATTTTGTGTTTGAATGAACTAGTTCAGTGTATCTCCATGTCATGCGATATTCTAAGGGCTTGTCCCTGGTATCCCAGTTCGTCACAGTGTCAACGTATATTGTTCGCTGCTAAAAGAAGGGGCGAATCTCCTTTTTTACAGGGGAGTATAAATGTCAGTGAAAGTTTTGGTAAATTGGCTGATATTAGCAATTAAAAGTTTGAGATATGCAAGTGTATATTTTAAAAAGTAAACAAGCCGTCCAAATTGAAAGAATATCTATCAGATGTAATTTCCCTAAATTGTTTATTTCAAAGTGTGCTATTTTCAGCCTTCAAGAACTGTAATAGTAGGCACACAAGGATGAAGATTGGATAAATTAGCGTAATCTGTTTCCACGCATGGTACATGTTATCGAGGTTATTGATAAAATGAGTATCTTCATGTTAAAAAAAGCTTTCCAGAAAAGTCCATCAAGAAACACATGACCATGAAGGCAGAAAAGGACTATTCACTATCTGTTAATAAGCAGCCTTCATATATACGACTGCAGTTCATGGGTAACAAACGTGGTGAAATAACTGCTAGCAAGTTAAGGAAATCGATTTAAAGAACTTTTAGTTCTGGCAAACTATAAGTCATATTTCCAACGCGACTGATGGTTATTTCTCGATTGAAAGATGAAGTACCTAGACTACCTACCTCTTCTTGTATCTACTAATTTAACTGCGCTTGTGGAGCGATTTACATTGGCCATTGCTCTAGCAACTTGGTTTTTCGTGCTCGGGAATACCTACCAGTGTGGCTAAATAAAGGTGTTGTGAAAAACGTCAACAGCTCGATATTAGACCTCCTGGTCAAAGCCGGCCACAAGGCTAGCATTAAAAAACTTCCTTACCATCTATCGGCTACCAAATAAATTGCCAAAAGCATCCAGGTACAGAAGACTCCAAACAGAGAAGCTACTGCGATCTGCCTAAACAACTGTCGTTCTGAGTTCGGAAGAAACATATGCAACCATTATCACTCCCCTGGTCTCCTGTGGAGTCTCAAAATCTATAAATACCTTATTGCGTCAGCCTTTTTCGATAACCCCCTCCATCCTGTAAATTTGGATTCCCCTACCCCCGTCATATACTTGCATTAACTAACCTTTTGTTTTCTTATTTAAACGTAGTTGTCAACATTCACAAGGACACGCATACAACGCACACAACCTTCTACCCCAAATTTCTCCTCCCTCGTCTCTGACATTATCATTCATCCGCTTGAAGTTTTTTATTCGCAATCGCTTACTCTTCGATGTAGGTATTGATTTGAGTGTTACAACTATACATATTACCAAATACATATATTTCGGATTACAATCTATCTACAAATAACCTTTGGAATTATGATGCTTTAGGGGCTGAGGGTGTTGAGATTCACGGATAGTACGAAGTATACTAACGCAAGATCTAATACCCACAACTTCTATAGTTATCGTTCCGCGTAGACCAAAGGCAAAGCAAAACAACAGAATTGACCATCCGAATAACGAGTTATATTTCCGGACGGGATCGGAGTGAGAGATGATTGCTTAACTAGCTAGTGATCGTGCACGAACGAACGAACGTGACACAACGGCGTACCAAATGGCGTGGATGCTTGACCGGAAGCTTCCAGCTAAACAAGTTGACTTAAATAGTGAGTGTCAGCATGCAGTGTTCAGTGATGAATGCTGCGGCCAATAATTCTGTGTAATCGCTACAATGTCAGTGGTTCAGTGTTACTCTTATATAACCACTAATGTCAGTAACATTCATTCTTTCATTATTATGAATAAATAACTGGAGAACCTGATGATGAAAATGTTGGAAAGAATATTCTTTATTAGGTAATCAAACTTAAGAAATTCCAATCGGGAATTCTGAATTAGTTTTCATGTTGCTTTATGTTCCTAATGTAAAGGTGAGTTGCTTTAAAGTTTTTGTAGCCTAGGGAATTGGCTTCTTATGGTGTCATCTTGTATAACTGCGAAAACTTATGACAATATATCCACCATTGTTTCCAATATGTAATACAGTGGAGTGACTTGAATTCCTCCGTCGAAAGATTTAGGGTTAAGTACCTACATTTATTCATCAATTGTAGGGCTAGAATCCGGGCTGGTTTGTGGGACTAAACCAAGCTATTTTATCTCTGCCTCGTGAATGGGTCATTTCGTTGCGCAAATTATGAAGCGATATACGAAGGCTGACACACGTAAGAGTCCTTCATACTCTCTCAGTAATTGTTTCTGAAATTGCCATTTAAGGGGATGTAACTAAGGACGCACAATTTTTTGGTTGAGAAGTGTCAGTCTGTGATGAATTTTTACGCGTATTGGATCGTTTGTCTAAAAATCAATGCAATGTTGACGTCAAAAAGTTTGAAAAAATGCGAAAATAAATTTGTTTTTGAAATAAAGAGCCAGGTAGTACTTAGGCGTGTATAATAGCTTGGTAGCAAAATTTAGTCTAGATATAGAAGGCAGAGTGATGCTGTGATTGCAGTTAACGCCGCGGATTGGTGAGTTTTTAGTATGAAACGCCAACTTAAATTTTGGAATGAAGTTCTGATCACATTTTCATTCTCATTTTGGCTAAAACATGTACATTAGCAGTTATACTCAACCTCACCTGGTTTACTATTTCTAAGTTAAATAAAATATGAAGGCTGGATGCGGCTAGCAGCCCCACAGTTTCAAAAAATAGGCTGATTCCCCGCCAAAATAACGAAGACCCCACAAATCTGATGCCGGTGGAAGCCCTATGGAAACCAGTCAGCTGGTGCGTCTTTTTCGATGGAATTAAAATAGACATAGGGATAGGAAATGTTTGCACTACGTTAGAAATCGATAGTCAGCAGTCTACTCCAACTACCCTGGCTGTAACCACAGCCACTCCAATGAAGTGAACATCATGATGTTGCCAACGGTACAAAAAGCTCTTATGCAGTTAGAGCCAATCTTCTTCAAGATGATGACTGCGAGATTCAACTCTAAAGGTGAGGAAGTTACAATTGTGTGATGCTAAACACCCACAAATAGTGCAGACCAATCGATGACGTAGTACTTCAGAAGACAACTAAAATGAATGGCGAATAAGACTCCAGACAAGTGGCAAAATCAAAATTCCAATGAAAGATATGAATGCCAAACTGGAAGCAGCTGACACGACAGAAATCGTCATGGGTCGTGAGTAGCTAGACGCAATGAATAACACTGGAAAATTATTTTCAGAATTGTGAATATTTGACCATTTGGTGACTGGAGGTAGAATTTACAAGTACAAGATAAAGTGGATTCCACCACTTGAACATATGGGGCCCCTACAACATTTTGATTATAGCTTGATTCTACACCGTATTATTGGTACAAGTATGGAATTTTCACCATGTGATATCGGTAGCCCAAATTTTGCAGACCAACCATTGATATCAGATGTGTGTCGGCCGCGGATCGAACCTCGGGCCATGTGTATGGTCGGCGAGATTCTTAACCGCTGTGCCACCGACGCAGTTCGTAAGGCTTTCTTTATCTAATGAATGATGAATCTCCTTCCCTGTATTTGACTAGGTTTCCCGTTCCACTTGCTCTATGCCATGCTTTCGAAAATAAGTGCTCAAAAACACGAAATACTGTATATCAAGATTCAAGGTCATGATGGGTTCATGCATTGGCCGATTATATGTTTCCGTGAATTGGTTTTCAGATGAAGTTCAAAGGTTTTCTGATGCTTTGCCTAGTTCAACGTGTCGAGGGCAATTTCTGTCACTGGACGCTACCATAAAGCTTATTTTTAGTCTGAAGTTCACACTTTTTAATTTGATAGCTAGCGACTATGGTAAGCCTGCTATCGTTGAACTAATTCGCGTATGCTAGGCTAAGACGGTGAACTGTTCATAGCACAAATGAAATTTAATTGCAGTCTAGTTAACCCTCCAAGCGTGCAACAATGCTGAAGTAAATCTCGCGTGTTCTGACCTAGCTCTGACTTTCTGTACTGAGTAAATACTGAAAGTGTTTGATTATTTGCACAAACTGGAATTCTATGCTGGTTTTCAGCAT